TCCCCTGTATCATGTCTCCTTAAACTATTTCTACTTGCAACACCTTCTACCTGAGAAAAATCACATGATTTCAGGTATGTAGGTCTATGAAATAGATATGAAATCAAACATTTATTGATAAAAGGCCATGAAGAGATTGATTTTTAAACAATCCCTTGATATATATAAATTTCACCATGAGTCGAAGAGCAAAGCAAATTTGCATACTAATGAGATGGATATGCTTGTTTATTTTTAAATGAAGAATTAAATCTTGGCTGAATATGTGATAGTGGAGGATGTGGAGCATCTTCAACCTTTTTGAGAGCTGATTGATATTTTGATTTTGCAATCTACAATACTGAGAATGCCACTTTGCATAAATACATAATATAAAATGGCAGAAGGATATTTACTGCCGTTTCAAACGAAATTGACAGAAATTCTGTCCGAATCCCAAGCCAAAAAAAAAAAAAAAATCAATTAATTTGAGTTTTCATGAAACTCAAGCCAGCAGCTCAAACAACAGTTTTTAAAATCAAACACAATGCAATCCAAAGATATGTAATTTGATACTTACATGCTGGGCAAGGATGGGAGGAAAATAGTAAGTTTTTGCTTTCTATAATTAAACCAGTAGATTTCAATAGAGCAGAAATCTCTGTATGTATAGTAAAAAAAAACACTAAAATATACTGTAGCCTGGTCTGAGGTGTTCCAGGCAGTTTGTTGGCTGTGCTTGGTGTGATAACTCAGACAGTGCAGTGTGCACACACTGGGTGTTCAGAATCAAGGCTTCAGTGTCACATGATGCAGCGTGGGTGAATGCTGCCAGAAACACATTGAATGTATTGTGAATTTGACTTTGAATTAATATGAGGCTAGTGTGTGTTCAGAAACATTCAGGTGTTTGTTGCTGAAATCTTCATTACAGTCACGGCAGTTATATGTTAAATGATCCCATAAGGTGGTCATGACACGAAGTTTAAAGAGTCACAAATAGTTTTTTAAAATTATGTGTGTGTTACTATGTACACATGAGTGTAGTTGCGTGTGAAGTTCAGAACAGAGCATTGGATCCCCTGGAGCTGGAGTTACAGGTTGCTGTTAGCCATCCCGTATGGGAGCTGGGAAATGAACTCAGATCCTCTACAAAAGTGGTATGAAGTTTTAACTCCTGAGCAACCTCCCCAGCTTTATCATCCCAGCTTAAAAACTGGCTTTAGATTGTGCCTCTGCCTCTCCAGGCCCTGACTGACTTGGAATGCTCTTACTTGAGCAAGAAGTAAGAGGGTGGAGTTAGTCAAGGTTGGAATCTCTGAGGAGGAACTTTGACTTGTGAGTCACAGGTAATTAATTCTTGACCCTTGCCAAGCATCTCAGGAGCTAGATTATTTTACTTCCAGATCCAAAAGTGAAAATGCCTGAGTATGGCATTGGGCAGGGTTGTTTAGCTGGTAAAGCTACCTGAGTGATGGGGTATGGGTAGGAATGTAGGGGGACCCCAGAGTTCTGGACTTGCTTCAAGAATGACTGGATAGCTTTTATAGGGGAGCATGATGGGGTATGTAAGAACTCACAGGTAGGAGATGAGCTCCATTTTAAGCCTGGAGACAGGAAGGCCTTGCTTTGGATTAATAAGAATAGCATTTTGGGGACTGGGGGGGGGGATTTCTTAAGTTGTTGAAGTGCCCAGTTCAGGCCACAGAAACCACATGAAAAGCTCAATGGGAGAACAGTGAGAACAGAATCCCTGGGGCTTGCTGATCAGCTAACCTAGCTTTACTGGTGCATTCCCAGCCAATGAGAGTCCTTATTTCAAAAATCAAAGTGGGCAAGTCACCTTAGGAACAATACCTATGGTTTACATATGGCCTCCATATACACACATGTCTATGCATCTACACACA